AATCTTATGAACTCACCAGCTAAAATGCTGATCTACTCTTTCAAAATAACTTGTATTCTCAGGAGACCAGTAAACAGGTACGCACACTGGGATTTAGAAGATGGAGCAGTTTAGCTTCATGACTTGTTTTGTTATTTACTTTTTGTCTATGTTATGTGAACCACATACTTTGTAAACACTTTATTTCTAATGAAATGGTTGTTTATTAATTTGCTTACTATGATGCATGACTTGTGATACTAAACACGACATCCTCCACCCCTGAACGTTTCCGCCGTTCCGGTTTTGGGGTGTGACATAAAGTCTAAATATTTTTAGATCATAACAAGTTAAAGATCATAAACATATTGAATCATTATATTCTTGATTGATAAATATTTTGAATCATCTCTATTTGGATTATATTATGTTCAACATTTGTAACGTCCCCAAAATTATGAGGTAAAAATTTCATTTTTAATTCAACCAAAACATTAACAATCTTCAAGTCAAACATTCAATATCCTTTTATCTAAATATTCAAAGGTACTTTATAAGAAAAAAACAGTTATCAGAATACAATTACGAAATTATCATAATGTGGAAACATGGGTGGATGCGCTGCGATCATGTTGGACCATTTCCTTTCGAACCGGAAGTACCAGAAACCGTAACCATAAAAACCGTAAGCACAAAGTTTAGTGAGTTTCCCAAAATACCACATACCATACATACCATTATGCCTAGCCCTCACATTGGGCCCATCCTACCTTAATCAGCCTAGCCCTGCTAAACAAAGTGTCTAGCTCAATCATACAAATGAAAAAGTCACATAGACAGTTAGCACCTACATAACATACAATGGGCCTAGCCCTTCCTGAACCATGGGCCTAGCCCAACATAAAAATGGGCCTAACCCATTATAAAATAGGCCTAGCCCAACATACCATGAAGGAGTCACAAAGACAACTAGCATATCATATCCTAGTGGGACGGCATTGGTGCCTTCGACCCACGAGTACAGTGAAGAGACTCACCTCAAGCTGCTGAAACACTCGAATAAATCTCTGACTGCTGGTCCGGAAAATCCCCTCGCTATCAACATCAAATGACATCCAATTCTTAATTAGGTTCCTACCTCAAACTAAGAGTCTAAGCTACTTAGCCCAAAACCAGGGTAAAAGACCATTCTACTCTTCATCTCACTTGGCCCAATGCCAAGGCCCAACTCAACTGCTTCCAAGGCCCAAATCCTAAACGATAATCCAAAGCCTAATATAGCCCAATATTCCAAATTGGGCCTAAAACCCATCATGGGCCTAAATCCAAAGAGCCCAAAAATATAAGTCTAATGGCCCAACAAGGAAAAACTAAGAAAACCCAACCAATGGCCCAAACCGAGAATACTAAGCCCAAACTCCCATCTGCTTAGTACGCGGGGCGTATTCAACTCGTACGCCAAGCGTACTCCGTCCGGGGTCAGTACACGTATCGTACCAGCTGGGTACGCCCAGCCTACCCTCCAGACTACCAACCCATCTCATTAAGCA